TTTTTTTTTTAAAACTCCTCCACCCTTTTGCTACATCCAAGTAGTGTATTCCAGACTGAACAAAAGCATCTTTTGGTCTTGCTATGCACTTTGCCACTCTGTCTGTGTTGGCCTAAGGTAGGCGTTTCAATTTTCACATGGCTGGGAGAGAGCCTGTAGCGTGGGTACCAAGGAGGTTACTGAGATATGGTAGACTATATTTAGTTAATTGGGGAGTATTGCCAGCCTCAAGAAATAACTTGTGTATCTTAATTTCCCTCTGGCGAAGCTTTATACAAAGTATTGAAGATCATTTGATCATGAACTTTGTTTAGGAGTGAAACTGAATTCCACAGTTAGTTCTCCATTGACAATGTTTAAACAATTGGATCAAAAGAGCGTTAGCTTGAATGACCTAACGGGTCCCCATTTTGGTATAGTGTGATGAGGGAGGAGGAGTGAGAAATTTGGATGGAAAGCACTGAAGCCAGGAGTGACTTCATCAGTTTATACCTTGAATTATGCCCAGAGGCAATAGTTGCATACAGTACAAAGACGTTTGTGTTATCATCAATTTCTGGAGGAGGAAAAAAAATCCAAACCAAACTCAAATCCTATAACCTAACAACAACAACCTACCCCTTCACCCTGCCACCACTAGAACTCCAAGTTCAGGTTTCTATAATTAGAACTGTTTATCAAACCTGTGTTGTGCAATGTCTGAGCACACAACGTGCGTACACTTTACTGCTAGTTCACCCTAAGAGTACAATATGAATGGTTAAGATATTCCGATTCCCAACTGTGTAACTACACACTTGCACTTCTATGGTTAGAGCAGGCTTTACCTGTAAATCAATAGCAGAATTTTGAAAACTGAATGCATGAAATGCTGTTGGTTTAATGCTCTCCTAAAATATGGTTTGAAATTAAAAATATTTTTCAGAATTACACATTTCGACAGAATGACATCCTAAGCAGGATGGGGCTGTCTTAATGTTCTACCAGACAGCTGCTATCAAGAGCATCTTTTCATGTCATAGGCATCATAATATTATAAACAACTAAATTCTGAGATTCAAATTTGAGTCTGAAAACAAGCATCTGGAAATCTTGAGGTATTAGCATGGCCTAAAAGTGTGTTCAGATGATAGTTCATCACACATGATGTCAACTTTTCTACTTCAGTCTCTACCATAATCCCTTGAAGTGTAACTGCTCACAGTAAACGTGCAGAAGTATGTATGACTAGGTTGCTTCTAGATGAAGTAGGAGCTGTGCCATGCTTGCAATTCAAGGTTTAAAAGGTAGGTGCCAATTTTTATTCTGTTGGCCGTGGTGTATTTATTAGTGAGCACCTTGGCATCACTCAGCAGCACAAGGGAGAAGTCTTGACACCACCAGAACCCAGCACCTATGTTCTCATGATTAAAGAGTCCAAGTCTGCATACTGCATGCCTTACTTAAGTAGACGTGACCACTGAACTTTAAGTAGTTTTGCAGATGTTAAGAGAATAAGAATGTATTGTTAATCATGATCTAATCTCTACAATGGCCAATTTTTCATTCTTGTAATTTGACATTTATGAAGCTAGAGAATTTACTTTTTTTTTAATAAATTTAGAAGCAAACCAGAAAATTAGATCTAGTTAATAGGGGATTTAAACTGAATAGTCATTGACTAATCTTAGTGTTGTTTATGGGTTACTGGAGTTTATTTGTGCTGCAGTAGCAGAGTTTGGACTTGTCTTCCCATTTGTAAATTACTACTACCTCAGTACTGGGAACTCAGAACCTGATGAAGAAGGTAACTACCATTTTCAGCAGATGTACTTAACTGTAAATACTACTGTAGTACGTAACTCTTCATTCTTCTCCAAGAAAGGTTTTGTTTAGGTTCGCAGACACTGAGTAGAAAACCAGTGTTTTCTCTGACTGGAAAAAAGCTTGTATATTTTATGTACATATATAACTTAATTGTTATAATCTTTGAGTAACTTGCAGTAGCTCTGGAGTAGCGGCGTTGCATTTCAAAAATAGTTGTAAATCATCTATATGCTAATGTAGCTAGTTAACATCCTTTTTAATCAGGTACGACTGTAGCATTAGTAGACCTCAAAATTATCTTCCTTAACAGCTACTGCTGAGCAGAATGGATGGGAGGAGGAAGGTTATTCCTGAACATTTATTATTTTCTTTTAAAAATAAACTTGAAAGGCTTGCTATATTTATGCATTCAGTACGTTTCATATGTCGGGAATTGAAAATTTGGCATTCTCTGATTAAGTTAGATCATTTGCAGTGAAAACCATCTGCCTCCAGAGATCCTTACAATTTCTTCAAGGTACTGTTCACTACATGGAAAACCTCCAAATTATATTACTGAATTATTAAAACTTTTCTTAGATTTAGACATTACTTTGTTGGGTGAAGTTCTGTTAGTTTTCCCTCTGTTTCAAGAGTAGGTGGAATGGCTGTATATGTTAACATAAATAATGCTGAAGTTATGAGAATTTTCACTGCTAACTTCACCAAGATTAGTCTTTTACCTGTGGTATGTTTGCTTATATACTGGCACAAGTATTTGATATCCAAGAGTACTATTTATTTGTAATGTCAGATATATAGCTTTACGTATTGCATTCATGCTTTGTTGTAAACATTGCAGAAGTGGTGAGTAGCTGTTGAGTCCATTGCTGTGATAATTATTCAGAAATATTTCAGATTTGTAATTCCATAGATTACTATTTCATATAGTTTCTTTTTAATTCTTTTCATATAATGCCATTCTTCATTTTGCCTTGTGATGAAAGAAGGCTTAGATTAGAAGCCTTTCCTTTAAGGCTTTTCCTCTGTGAAGCAGTTTGTTTATTTCTGGTGCAAGGTGCCTGTAAAGGATGTTCCTGTAGTTGTCACAAACAGAACTATTTTGTACATAGCCTTTTCTTATACAAATAACTTGGTCACAAGAGAGTGTAAGCTTATTTTCGAAAGTACAACAAACAAGAACTGGGAATGTTTGGTAACTGTTTTGTAATCTTTATTTTCATAAGCCTCTCTTGACTCTCTTTAAGACTTGGTCACAGGTTCCTTTCTGTATTTTGGACATATTTTGCAGTTTAACAGTCTTATAATACTCTATTTGTGGTAATGAAAACGACTAGAAACGTTAAGTGTTAGTTTGATGTAGATGGTTTCCGTTGACTTACGAAACCACAGTCGTCTTAGTTGCCTCTAGATTTAATCCTTAACACCACACTACAGATATAAATGACTTGTACTGCTACAGACCTCTCATCGCTGAGGAGGTATAGAATGAACAAGTTGGCTTTGCTGGTTATTAGTCATAGAAAAACACTCAAGAGTCTCAACCCAAAATTCAGAATAACAAGCCTGTATGTTGCCAAACAGCTAGACTTATCTTTCCCAATAACTGTATGGTTTTATAGACTCAGTTTAACTGGTGGGTTTTTTTCTCTGCTGAGGTTGCCCTTCCACTTTTAATATTTACTCTCCATAACTGTAATAGGAAGCTGATAAAACTAATGATGGCTTTTAGAAATGTTTGCTTGCTCTAGAATATTTATGTTCTGTCTGATAATTTTTGGAAACATTTTAATCATACTCCAAGCTTTTGTACTTTTGATGAACCAAAATACTGTCTATATGACAGATAATACTGATGTTGAAATTGGTTGAGTTTGACAAAACAAGTTTGTCTGATTTTCTGGGTGAAGGAGATCTGTGAAAGATCTTTTGTCAATAACAAAAATGAAAGCTGCAGAATAGGAGCTGAAACCAGTTTATTCCATTTCTTTACGGAGATGTTTTTTCATTTGTCTTTAATACCAAAAATTAAAAACATTATTTTTTTTCCTTTTTTTATCTTTTTTCCTCTAGGGAGGCAATAATGCAGGACATACAGTTGTTGTGGATTCTGTGGAGTATGACTTTCATCTTCTGCCAAGTGGGATCATCAATCCAAAAGTCACTGCATTCATTGGTGAGACATCTCTAAAAACAATAGACAATGTTGTAGTTACAGACTTCTGACATATTGGAAGAATTACAGGATAAGGATTTTTTTCTACCTCAAGATTCTCATAGACCTGAACTGCTCTACTGCCTTAATACTGTCTTAACTTAGTTGTGAAGTATAGATTACAGAGGTTACTTTTATTGAATAGCCTTTGTTATTATCTGCCCTGTCATTGCAAACAGCTAGCTGCCCAGCATTATCTTCATTCTCCCACTCCCTCTTGTTTTCGCTACCAATTATTTCTTTTATTCTCAGAGTTCCTCCCTTTTGTTTTAATCTTCAGCCCTGCTATGTAACTACAAGTACCTTTTGAAACATAGAACTTTCTTCCCTTTCTCATTAGATTGTGAAGTGAATGCTGACTCCAGAAGATTTCTGCACTATATAGTTCTTACCAAGAAGTCTTCTTGGGAGAGTATATTAGAAGGTTGAAGGCAGTGGTAGTACTATGTTGTCAGGATCTATGATATCAAAAGGGGTTTAGATTGTCCTGTCTGCTGTCCCTACAAGCCTACTTACCTGCCTACCTCTCTTGGTATCCTGTTTCCAATCTTACGTGGTTTTTTCCTTTGGATTGCCTGTGTATGACCAACCTACTTAACAGTGCTGTGTACCCCTCAAAATTGCCTTCTAAAAATGAAGGTAAATATAAACCATGTTACACAGTGTTGTAACTATGCATGTGCTTGTGCGCTGTTTCACGAATCAGGTGAGTCTCTGGGTCACTAAAGGCTACAACCCATCCCATCCTGCTTTTCTGATATCCAGAACTCCTGTCCCTTACATAGTGTACTTCTCCAAATCAGGACTCTATTGCCATACTCTTCCTATTACTTCTTCCTGCATATCTGATTGCTTTGAACCAATAGTCTTGTCTCACAGCTTTGTATGTGTGCCAGGAGTAAGTGGTCAGTGGCAGTTTGCTGAATAGCATAGCAACTAAAGAGCCTCTGTCACTACTTACTTGATTCATAAATAGTACTTGCTGAATTCTTGGGTCCACCTTGTAGTGACTGTGTACTTGCAGTCAGCTTTAACTCTTTACTTCCCTGTCTTCTTTGTGACTTGATAGTGAGATAAGTTTTGGATCAACTTGACCTGCCTCATACTTGTACAGAAATTGAGCTAACGGGCATGGAAATAGATTCTCTTTGATGAAGGGGAGGTTGGGATCTGAATTACTCCTAGATTTGAGGGCTATGGCAGATGATAGTAGTAGTCTCTTCTGATGTTTACTGTAGTATGTTTCTTTAATAGGTTGTTGCTCTTAGTAGAAAGGGGATGCCCATTTGCCATGTTTTGTTTAGTGAACTCAGAGCCTAGTAGGGGAGACCCCATCTTTTAAAAGTACAGTAGGCAGGAGAGAGAGCTTTTTACAAATACTCTTGTCTGTATTTGCTATCTCTTGGTCGTGTCTGTTTTGAAGTTTGTTGTTCAAGCTTCTTTTAGGTCTGCCTTGTTTAAAGTCTCTTTTGGAAAGAAAAATAACTATCTGGCTTAGGATTCCACTTAGGGAGAGGGTTTATAGGTTCCCTATTATAGTTCTATTATAATAGATTATTCCTGTTGAGCAGGACTGTACCATGAAGGTTATATAGCCCATAGAAGAAGTCTTACTTTGTATTTTGGTGTTAGAATGCTTTTATGCATGTGGAATTAGGTGATATGCCAACAGTTTCAAATGGCAGGTCTCTTCATTCTTCAGCTAGATGTTAACATGCTAATAGTTTTGGATCTACTGAGTTTGGTTTGACTCTTAAGATGGTTCAGTTTCACTATATGGAAATGCTCCTTCTTTGCATCAGTGGTGCTAGTTAATTGTATGAGCTAGTAGTTTTTTCTAAGCAGTGCGACAGCTGTAGGAAAGCAAGCTTGCTTTTCAGAGAGGTTTTTCCTATGTTATTTTTGCTAGTCTGTTAACAACCTCAACTCTATATATGGATTATTCTGTGTCTATTTACAGCGGAAAGGATGCTAGTGTTTATAATGATGATAGAAATGTGCTAAGCTTTTGAAAAAAACAATAGGGTTATTAAGATGAAGTACAAAGAGAGAAGTTAATTTTAGATATGAGGAAGAGGAAGTTGCATTCTGGACTGTCCCACGATGCTGCTACTGTTTGTCCTGATCTAAATGGAAAGTTTATTGAGTTTATTAAAAAAATTCAATTAATGTAGTTAGAAACACACAGTTTAGGTTAAATCAGTCTTTTACAGACAAATTCCTAAGAATAAAAATTGCACTGTCTTGAAAGTTAAAAAATGTAAATAAAATACTCTGCATACAGAACCTGAAGTGTCTTTGAATTGTTTGAGATATTTTCTTTCATGCTTAATGTATTCTGATAAATTCTGTGTAATGGTTTTCTTCAGGAAATGGTGTCGTAATTCATTTGCCAGGACTGTTTGAAGAAGCTGAAAAAAACTTAAAGAAAGGAAAAGGTGAGAAAATTTCAAGATCTTACTCTTAAAATAGTTCATGGGGTCCTTCTCAAAAGATTTAGGTATAGGATACCTCTGCAGAGGTTACGTACAATGTGTTTTTCCAGAACTCTGTTCAGCTGCTGTGGAGGGGCCCTCATGGGAAGACAGGCAAAAGGAGTTGCTGTACAGTTTCAGAAGAGAACATGTTCTAAATATGAATTATCTGCAAACATTTTTCTTTTCTTAAAGCAGTGAATTTAAGAAGTGAAACAACTTGTTTAAAGTGTTGTGTGAACAGTGTCACCTGTTCATGTCAGTTTACCTCTTTAGTATACAGTTGATACATACTAATGTAAACAGGCACTGTGGTAATCTCTTCTTCATTCAGAACTCAGTTTTTAGATGCTTTCTGTCATGTCTATGGCCATGCTTGGCAGCAGTCTACTAGAAATGAGGTATATCAGTGGTCTAGGTAACTCAAAACCAACAGGCTGCTAGTTGATTACTGGAATTGAGGAACTAGTAGAATAGCTATAATTCTTCCTCAGAATAAACCTGACTTTCAGCTTTACAGTCTAATGCCTATGTTGAAATGTACTTTTTTCTCTCTGGGACATGATTGCTCAATCTTGACTGAAGATTAAACATGAGAAGTATTTATTCTTTACACATCAGAAGACAAAAATGAACTAATTTGAAGTATGAATGAACTCATTTGAACTATTTAATTTTGTCTTCTAAGGGCTAGAAGGCTGGGAAAAGAGACTAATAATTTCTGACAGAGCTCACATTGGTAAGTTCCTGTTTGTGGTTTGGGTTTTTGTTGATTTTTTTTTTTTTGTTTGTTTGGTTTTTTTTTTTTTGTTAATCTTTGTTTCCTCTGACCTTTCCATAGCAGTAAAAGCATGACAATTTTTAGCCATCTCTCTATATAGCTATGTACATTTCTTTGGATTAAGTATCCATATGCTGCTTGGCTTATTGAAGATCCTAGACAAAAATAATTCACCACTTGGGACTCTCCTGGGTTATATTCTAGTGACTCTTTAATCCTATTCCATAGGCATAGCCTAGTCAGGAAAGCAGGTTCACTTTCCAAGCCAGTGCTTAGAGGTGCAAAGCAGTCAAGAAACAGTTTAGAAGTTAGTTGACTGAAGGATTCATTTCCCGCTTTGGTGTAGCAGCATTGCTTATAGCGACTTTTCTGCTGGGAAACCATGTGACTGGGCATGATTCCAAACTAACTGGCTCCCTACCAAGTAAATTGCCTGAAACTTAAGAAAGGAGAGTTTATGGGAAGGACTGTAGGGATGGAGAGCATAGCTGCTGCCCTTCTGCAGGGAGGTTGTCTCTCTAGCGCTGGTTCCAGACTGTGTTCCAGAAAACTCTACAGTTAGACCCTGGAGTAAAATAGTGTTTAGAGTCCAAACCACCACCACATAGCTCCAGAGGCTCTTCGTTTATCATTCCTAGGACATCTTTATTACATAAATTCACCCTTTAAATTAGATCTTTAGCTATTGTAACATAATAGGTAACTGCATGTATTAGGAAATGGGCTTATTGCTGCTCTGGTAGTCACCTTCTGAAGATGCAAACATTTTAGGTCGTTCTCAGCTAAAAGCTTATAACACTGGAAAAAAGGGTTTGTAATTAAAAAAAAAAATTGGAACAGCTTAGTGAGTGAACATACTATTTCAGAATAAATGTTTTTAGTTTGGAGTAACTACTGGGTTTTAAGTAGTTGAGTGACTGTTCCTAAGTTACTAACGTCCTTTCTGAGAGTACAATCACTGTAGTTGAATTACTTGGAAACTACTAGATTATTAGGAAGGATGTTCTGCAGTGATTAGATTGCAATGGCAATACTGTGAAGTTTTCATAGCTAAACAGGTCCTGAGTAAGAAGGACCAGTAACTGACTGTCACTCATAATCATTCAACTTCTTAAACAAATTTTCAGAATGCTTTGATTTAGATGATAATCTGGAGATGTTGCCTTAATAAATATGCCTTCTCTAAAACGAGTATTAGCTATCTGTGAATGATTAGTCTGTAACACAAAGATCAACCAAAAATAGGATCAAGCTTCTGGGGATAATTTGATATTTTAAATTATGGGGATATGAGGAAATAAGCACAAAAATAAATTGGTAAGGTGAAGACGGAATGCCACGCTTCTTCTAGAGACACTAGAGTACTTATTAAATGTGTCTGTTTCATGCAAGTTTTCAGTCTTCCCTGTGTAATGTGCAGACTAGTTGTTTAACTTTTGGGAGATAGTACTTAAGAAAAATAAGATGGCTTCTGCCAACCTGCAAGCTGTTGCACCACTTCTTATATTTGACATGAATCTTGACAGTTGTTTACAGGGTTTGTTTTGGTTTTTTTTCATTCATGGTAGCCAAAGAATTGGTGCAAGGAATACTTTGCATAATCCTTGTCATTAATAGTATGTAATGCTTTCAAATAATTAGGGCTTGTAAAGATGACTTCTGTTTGTGAAACATGTTAGTGGGAGCTTTTGTATTTTCAAATGTATTTTAATTGATGTTGTCTAAGACATAAAACTAAAATGATTTAAGAAATCTGTAGAATGAATGAGAATGTGAACTTAATGATCCCACTTTCAATTTCAGAAGTATGAGGCTTTTTACAATAACCTGTTTTCCAGGACTTTTTTTTCAATTGCATGTTTTTTGTCTGTTGTCCATACATTCTGTGGGGCCACTACACAGCTGAAATAAGTGGCTTAGTTATTCTGTGGGAGGTGTATACACAGTCTGCAAGTATTCTACCTAATAAATACTTAAAAAAAAAAAAAAAAAAATCTTTGAAAAACTTCAGAACTCTTTCCTGTGGAAAAGATGTAACCTGAAAAAGAGAAGAAAAAACTATTTTTATTTGCCTCTCTTCAGTGTACATAATTTTGTTTTTCACACTGATAAACAGGGGTAGTGTTGGTTTGAAGAAATCATTGCTGATACAGTAATTCCCTTAACACAAATTTTCTACTTAGGCTATTTTTATTTTCTTAGTATTTGATTTCCACCAAGCTGCTGATGGCATCCAAGAACAACAGAGGCAAGAACAAGCAGGAAAAAAGTAGGTAGTTTTATTTTGTCAAACATAGGATGACGTAGTACAAACATGACTTATTACACTGGATTTCTGTTACTGTTTGTCATCAAGTTTTAAAAAAGTATTAATTATCCTTGTAACTCTGCAATGTGGCATACACAGGGATTATTTCTTACACTTTTGTCCTCCAGTGGCTACCAAAATATTATATCCTGAATGAAAGGGGTATATCTTGGTATTTTGCCTTATGAAAAAGTTTGTCATTCCTAATCCCTTTATAAAAAGGGTTCCTGCTTCTTAATGTTTTGTTTCCTGGAGGTATTTGCTTCTGTAAAAATATATTTCCATTTATGAAGAGTAAAGGGCCCCATTACCATCTACAAGTAACTGTAAGGTCTGATACTACTAATTTGGTATCTTGTGGTGCTTCATTGTCCAGCCAGGTTGGACAGAGTTTTGAGCAATATGGTCTAATGGAAGGTGTCCCTGCCCATGGCAGGGGAATTGGAACTCCGTGATCCTTAAGGTCCCTTCCAACCCAAACCATTCTGTGATCCTTTGATTGCCAGAAGTGTATATAAATGTTCACATTTTCTACTACATGCTGCTGCTGACTTTCTGAAGGTTTTGAAACTTGAAACTAGCAGCTATGTTTCTAACTTGTGATTTCCAAGTAGCTTGGGATGGGGAACAAGCTGGTAGAATTAACGGTGTGAAATGTCTACAGCTGGAAACTCGTGTAGCACTATAACCTTCTGAGATACCAGTAAACTTAATCCCTCTTCTTGGAAATTTGTCTGTGTGGATGAAAAGTAATTGAGTCTTCCTTACCGAGACCTGTAAGAGGTATCAGCCATGACAGTCTTTAAGAGAGTATCTGATTTTTGCATATCTTGTTTCACATAGGTTGCTGTCAAGTGATAATTTGTCAATTATTCTTACATCGGGTCATTTTCACACTTGACTGTCCTGTACCAGCTGTCTCATTACCTGTTATTTTAGGAATTAAAGAGTAAACAGAAAGAACATACATATATACCTATATATATGGAAGAATATATGGTGTTTGGATTTTTTAATGGGCCAATATGTATAACAGCATTTCATTTTATGCTAAGGGTGTATTATCTTTAAAGAAAAAGTACTTTAGTTTTATATCAAGAATAACTCCCGTTGTTATCTTTTGAAAGTTTGGGAACTACCAAAAAAGGAATTGGTCCAGTATATTCTTCAAAAGCAGCTCGAAGTGGACTCAGAATGTGTGATCTTGTTGCTGATTTTGATGAATTTTCAGAGAGGTAATTTCTGTATTTTTATGCACAGTTAAAAGCATAATTTTCAGTTTCTGGGTAGTACCCCGGATAAGCAGTTACACCTGATTGCTGTTACTTTTTAATTAAAATGTATTCTAAAATATGAAAATAATTTTATTTATCATTTTGTTAAATTATTTATTTGTATTTATTAAAATACTTTATTGTTTAATCACCAAGTAATTGCAGATACGTAACCAGTAAAACCTAAGGTTGGTGGGGGGCTCGAGGAGGAAAACAAACAAAAAACCTTAGTGAAGCATTTTTGCCTTCCAGGTTCAAAGTGTTAGCCAATCAGTATAAAGCGATTTATCCTACCTTAGAGATAGATATTGAAGGGGAATTGAAAAAGCTCAAGGTAAGCCTGCTTCTGTCTGCTAACTGATACAATCACTGTGTGCAGTTACTGATATGTAAACCTCCTGCTGACTGATACTCATGCTTGTGTGAGGAGTTAAAACATAATACATAACATGGGAAACTGGTATGTATCAGTTTTAAGGAGTCTGCTAGTTGCTTTAAAGACACTTTTCACCCTGCTTTATGCAGCATGTCAAAACTTGGTTTCAAGAGAAATATTACAAACTTTAAGTAGAAGGCTTGTATAGGGAGTTATTTTTGACTTCCACTTGCTTGGGAGTACTTAGTACTTATATTTGGCTTACTTTAAATAATACCTGTTGCACTGGAGTTGTATTTTTTTGTCAAGATGCAGACCTAAAAATCAGTTACAGTTGGGTGGTTTATAATGCATTATAGTTTACCTAATACACATTAAGATTAAAGAATATCTGAAATTTGTTGTTAGGGTGGAAACATGTATTTGTAGCTTCAGGAAAATTACTTGCACTTAACATTTGTTTTGTGCTAATGCACTTGATTAAATTCTGAATGGCAAAGTGTTTTATTTCATATGAAGTGAATCCTTAGAATGAGAACTTTGTTATGTTCTTATGTGGAAAAAGGCTGCGTACCAAGTGTTAATCTGGCTTCTTACATTCAGCTACTCAGTGGCATTCAGGCATTTGACCCTTAATTCCAATAGATAACTTTTTATTTTCACTTACAAACATACCTGTGTGTGTATATATGTGTGTGTATATATATATACACACACACACACATACAGATAAGTAATATATACATCACAAATTAATGCTGCTTTATGACTGTGTGTCTTTGTTGGCTTTAGGTGGCCAGAAGTAGAACTCCCTGCTATTTTTGGGAGAGAAATTTCAAACACTTGGAAATGTAATACCAAGTACAGTAAAGTGTTGTGATTAGATTCAAGCTTGAATATTTCTAAAGCATTTCAGAAGTTTTAATTTTACTTTGGTTTTTTTTTTTTCTTTCTTTTTTCCCCTCTTTCTTTTTCCTCTTTTTTTACCCCTCGTTCTTTCCTCCTAGGAGGAGCCTGCATGTCTGTTGGGTAAATCAAAGTCTAATCTTCTTCCTTACCCTGTTCACATGTTACAGCGTATTTAGCATTTCTTTGTTTGCTTTTGCTTTTCAAAAGGAATAAGAGCACTGTTATGAGGGATCAATAGCACTTGTGCTCTGGCTGGCTTTATCATAATGAAATCATACTGTACGATTGTGTTTTGTATTATTCAGGGCTGCATCGAAAAAATAAAACCAATGGTGAAGGATGGTGTTTATTTCATGTATGAGGCTTTACATGGACCACCAAAGAAGATCTTAGTAGAAGGTGCAAATGCAGCACTGCTGGACATAGATTTTGGTAGGTATAACCTTTTTTGAGACACACATTGCTGTATACTTATGTTGTGAAAGAGGAACACTAAATATAAATTCTTTTGTGCTTAGCTGTTCTTATGGCAGAAGGGATTTATATTTTGGAAGAACAGTACTCTCTATGACTAGTAAATAATTAGGGGGGAGTTTTTTATTCTTTCAAAAACCTTTAGACTCTCCCAATATTGATTATTTGAATGACATTAAAGATCTGATGACTTTTCTTAAATTGTATGCTGCTACTTCAGTGTCTGTTCCATATGAACAGTTATACAGTATACATCTATGGAAAACACTTGAGATAAATGGAGAGCCTTGAGAGGCAGAGTATATATACAAAATACTTGTTGACTTTTGAAGAATCAGCTTGTGGGGGTTTTTTGAAACCCCTATATATAACAATTTTTCACTTTTTCATGATGTAAGGAATGTGGATTGCTAATGAGGCAAGAGTGAAAAGATTATCCCAATGAATTTGAAATTATAAATGGTGCAGTTTTTCTGAAACACTGTGATTTTACTGATAGATTTAGAAGCTTCTTGATAGAAGCAGGTTTTTTTAATAAGATTGTTACTGTATTCCAAGGACAGATAAACTATTGTACTTCTGTGTAGGCATAAGCAGCCAGTATAATGGCCTCCTCCATTTTGTCATCGTTTTCTGTAGTTTCACTAGCCTTGTAACCGCATCATTATTTTATTGTTGGAAAGATGCATAAGCCTGAAATTGAGCCTGTAAGGATAGAACATTGGCATGCGCTCTGCTGTCAACTGATAGGAGATCTCATAATAGGGCATTTTCAAACATACTGAGTTTGAATGCCTTCTCTTTTAAGAGGAATATCTGTTTAAGACTAGTCATTGTAAAAGTGAGTACCAAGTTTTCAAGTATTATAAGAAACTTCCTTACTTAGTAAGTAAAAAAAGGAATGAAGTCTTCCCTGTCACAGGGAAATGTTTAATGCAAAAGAAAGATATTTGCAGAAACTGTAGGGGAGGGATTTTTTTTCTTTTGTAGGTAGCGAGGGTTTTAGATTTTGTACAAGTATGGAAAACACAGATAGTCTGAAACCCATCCACTGTGCCTGTAATATGTATAGAGTTGTTTGAGTCACTTAGATATTTTCTCCTGCCTGTGCTGTGAGAACCACACAGAGAGAATATTTGCTCTCTTTAGGTAGGTAATTACCAGTGCGGTGGATACATGGGGTAATAATTGACATGTCCTAGCCAAAAGATTTAACAATGCCAAATTTGATTATTGATCATTCTGAATGAGGCTATTTCCTGTGCCTTGGTGCACAGAAGCCATCACACTGAAGAGTTTTATGAATGTGTGCCTGTTGGCAGTGAAATTGGTAAACCCCCAACCAGCCTTGCAGCCGATCCTGCTTCTCTGGAGTGAGTAAGGAGGGTCCATGTGCATGTGCCTGCGGGTGTAGGTGTGGTGGGTGTGTGAGGTCTT